AAAACAAACATATCCATTCACAAACGCTAACATAATTACATCTACATTCAAAACATAAATCTAGGGTTGGGGGGTGGGGGGGGGGGGGGTTAACCCTTAGTACCTTAGAGAACTACCCCATAAAGGGGTAAGGATAAATGGAAGAAAATAGAATAAGCCTTGATGTGGGAGAGCTCCCGTCTTCTTCTTCTTCTTCTTCTCTTATTCTCTTTCCTTCAGCTTCTCTCTCTAACTTTCTCTCTATTCAAACAAAAAATATTCAATCAATTTTAGCTCTCAAGTTAGGGGAGGAACCCCCTACTTATAGATTTCCAAGATCCGGGCATGTTCATGGTCAAGGGGGAAGAGTTTGCGGCCGCGATCTTGGGAGGCAAGGTCGTGATCTTGAGCTTGCCATTTTGCGCTTTGAAGTTTTGAAGTTCATGGCCTGAGTTCACGGTCGTGATCTGTAACTCGAGCCCGAGATCTTTCTCGCAGGCTCGGATGAAGAAGTTTGTGAGCCGACTATCAAGACTTTCTGCTCCTTCCTTGTTGGCTTCTGCAAATTTTCGCGCTTAGTACCTCCATCTTCGCGGTCGTGATCTTTGGCCTGTAGGTTGTGATCTCGGTCCTCAGCTTCACGCCCTATGTTCCCAACCGTGATCTTTCATGCGCTAGTCGTGATCTCTGGATTTCTAGCATTTCTCTACACTTGTGCACATTTTTGTACCTAACAACATTCATACCATCCAATACACCCAAATATACTAACATTTTCTCAAAGGAATGAATACGAGGTATAATTGGCGATATGTTGACCATGAAGAACACAAAATAACTTAAAACAAGCTTAAATATGGGTTCTAAATTATTTTATTTTAATATATATAAGCCTAACATTGGAGTTACTATTCATTAGTGGCTCTCAAACTCTTCCAAGTGCAAGTGGGGAAGTTCCAAGTGTTTCTTTTATCCCACTCTCCATTCTACAAGCTTTGTGTTTAGCTATTGTTCGCTAGGTTTATATCTATTGTCCATTGTGTTTCTCATAACAATTATTGCCTACTAGGTTTTCAACTCCCTATTGCAGCAACTATCCACTAGGTTTGCATCTATGGCTTGATGCACAAATCATCTCCTTTTCCAAGTGTTTCTTTTATCCCACTCTCCATTCTACAACCTTTTAGCTATTGTTTTATAGGTTTACATCTATTGTCCATTGTGTTTCTCATAACAATTATTGCCTACTAGGTTTCAACTCCCTATTGCAACAACTATCTAGTATCCACTAGGTTTTCGTCTATGGCTTTTTGCACAAATCATCGCCTTTTCCAAGTGTTTCTTTTATCCCACTCTCCATTCTACAACCTTTGTGTTTAGCTATTATTCGCTAGGTTTACATCTATTGTCCAATGTGTTTCTCATAACAAGTATTGCCTACTAGGTTTTCAACTCCCTATTGCAACAACTGTCTAGTAGGTTTTCGTCTATTGCTTTTTGCACAAATCATTGCCTTTTCCCACCATTTCGCAACCCATCTCAAAATACTCTCCGTGAAATCCTAAGTTGTTCCCCACCACCGTTTCCCAAGGCCGCTACCACGAGTTTTGTATCGGGACCGAGTTTCATCCTCTTTAGTGTTTTTTGTTTTTCCTTTTTATTGATCATGATCACAATTGAACCCAAACACATGGATATCCTAACTTGAACCCAAATCATCGCCTTTTCACACAATTTCACAACCTAACTCGAAACAGTGTCGGTGGAATCCTGAGTTGTCCTCTTTCACCGTTTTCCACGGCTACGGTCAAAGATCCATACTAGATATGCTCTGTCAAATCCTCAATGTTGCTCACCAATTCACAACCTTCTCAAAGCATTGTCAACGAAATCCTAAGTTGTCCCCCTCCACCGTTTTTCAATGCCGCTACCGAAAACCCATACCAGATCTACTCAATATTGGCGAGTTTTGTATCGAGACCAAGTTTCGTCCGCTTTAGTGTTTTTTTCTCACTTTTTCCATTTTTTTGAGCATGATCACAATTGAACCCAAATCCATGGGTATCCAACCTAATTCGATCCGATCAAAGCGGCTTGAAACCGGCTTTCGTATTTATAAATTTCTCTTTTTTTCTTTTTATTGGGAAGACAATTGAATTCGAATCTAAGGTGTTGACATGTGTTGTATTGCGAGCGAGCTTTATCCGCTTTTGTAGTTTGCAGGTTGGACCAAGTGTTAATTTGTTAAAAAATTGGTCAAAGGCTGTTGAACACGTTGTTGACCAGTTTTTAATCGAAAGGGAGTTTTGTACGTTTTAATATTTTTTTCTCATTTTCCTTTTCAATGAGAATGACAATTGAACTCTTACCCATTGTTGACGCATTTAGTATCGAGAGCGACTTTTATCCGCTTTTTGTAATTGATATGTTAGGTAAATTGTGAATTTGTTCAAACTAGGTCGACCTGGTCAAAGCGAGTTGAACACAAAGTTGAGATTACGGGGCCATGAGCTAGTTTTATCCACTTTAGTATTTTTTTTATCTTTTCCCTTTTGGTTGAGAATGACAATTGAGTCCAAACGCATGAGTATCCAACCTAATTTGACCCGACCAAAGCGACTTGAACCCGGTTTTACAGGTTTTCGGCGAGATCGAGTTTTATCTGTTTTTGGAATTGGCGGGTTGTATCAGGTGTGAATTTGCCCAAAACTCGGTTCAACCAGGTCAAAGAGAGTTGAACCTGGTGTTGTCGTGTTGACGAGTTTTGAGTCGGTAGCGAGTTTTAAATTTAGTGTTTTTCATTTCGCTTTTTCCTTTTGTTTGAGAGAGACAATTGAACCCAAATTCATGGGTATCCAACTTAATTTGACCCGATCAATGTGAGTTGAACCTTCTCAAACCTGCAATCAATCCAAAAATTTCATAAAGGAGAACCACGATTACGTCAAACCCCAAAAAAAGCCAAAAGAGTACGACTATGTTTGGCCCGAATTTTAGAAGTTATATGTTTAAAGTTCAAGCCAACCCAAACACCTCTAAAGTTTCGCTTTTTAAAAACCTGAAATTTTTCATAACTTAAAAGAAGAAATTCCGATTTGAAAATACAAAATTGTTACCATATATTATTCTTTTCTAGAAAATATAATTTTCTTTCATTTATATCATTATAAAAAATAAATTGAAAAACAGTATAATTTAATATGAAATACATCTAACATGATCCATTTTAAATACTTTTAATTAATAGAATTTGTATTCATATTTTATGTTAGAAATATGTTTTGGTCATTTTACATGACCTCTTATATTAGAAAGTAATTCTAATAGTTTTTAACCTAAACACTCAACTGTTTTTTTTAATACTTCTTGAAAAGATCGAGAGAAGCTGCTTTGTTATGCAAAAGTTACAGCAGGATCAATTACTAGTTATACAAATTGAAACAATAGCGTAATGAAATAAGTTTAAACATAAATAATATATTTCTAAACCCTTCTACTTTATCCAAGTTCATCGAACATATGCTATTGTAAATAAAATTTCTATGAAAAGAATGATTAAGAATTAAATAAGATTACTTTCACTTTTGGGTCAACATTAAAACTATTACTCTTTAAAATATTTATTTTTCTGTTACGCAAAGCGATAGCGAACGGGCCTTTGCTAGTAACACTTTTTGAGTGTTATCATGTTATCTTTTTCTATGTCGAGCTAAACACCATGGTTGTTTAGGGAGTGGATCTTGGATGTCTTATGTACTATCTTTGTAATCACATAACGTGTCTATGTTTAGGCTATGCTTGTGATTTATCATTCTTGCTTGTTATATTCAAGTTTATATATTTTTTACGAGATATCGCTCATATATATTATTAGTATTGTTGCTCATGCATGTTTGACCAGATCACACACATGTAGTGATGGCAATTTCTAACTTGACCCCATGACCTGATCTGCCATAACCTGTTTGAGGTGGGTATTACCCGACACGTAGTAGCATGGGCGGGATATGAGTATTGCTTCCGCCCCATCCTACCCCAGTCTTTGTCAATTTTATCAAGATTTGCACCAATATCTACATGTATGTATCCTCTTGTGACCTCTCTAAAATTATATTAATTTACTCTATTATTCAACTATTTAGACTCATTATTCCTTCTACTATATTTCTCATTCATTTATAAAGTATTTTCTCTATGTGTTCTTGTAAAAGAATTAAATATAAATGATCTTTTCCAAATAACATATAATAATTGATCGACCTGCCCCGTCATCTGACCTATACTTAGTGCAGGACGGCGAATATGAGTATTGAAGTACCAGCTCCGTCTCATAGTCATCACAATGCACATGTATGTGTGATAATAATTGATAATTGTACTTAGGTTAGATGAGATCACGAGCCTAGGATAGTCGCTAAATAACAATCTGCAAAAACTACTTTGAATTCTTTGACCCTGCATGCTATTTGTGATATATGTGCATCATAACTGACTTGTGATGGACAAGATCACGGGCACGAGCCGATTCATTAATTCTATTGCAGACTAGACATTGCGGATGTGAGTATGTCCCAAGTAGATTGAAGTAGGATATATCCAAGTCAAGCAACCTTAGTTAGATATATTATTAGTTGGTCTAGTTGAAACCATCCTAAACAACGCCTTTACTTCCTGCTTTTCTACACTTTGCACTTGTCTTTTTTTTATATTTTATGTAGTTGAAATTTCTGGACTTTATTTTATTGCTTGTACCTTGCCTTGTATTTCCCTTTACTCTTTTAGTCAGCAGAAACGACACTATGCACATCTCAGTCTTGCTTGACTACTCAAACCACTAGTAATTAGTTTAGAGTAGAGATATTGTTGCACTTCCTATGGAATAGGACTCTAGATGATAGTGTAGGTTATTTACTTCTAGTGACATACTAGATGGACTATTACTTTGTGGCTTCATCACACAATAACCGTTCCAGCTCGAAGAGTTTAAACTCTCCCGTAAACTAGTGTCACTATTGAGAGAAACCCATTTAAATTCTTTATTCAATTCTATTACGTTTTCAAGTCACTTTACAAGCAACGATAATGGCTAAGGGGTTACGATCAACCGGGAGAGATGTGTGATCGAGGGAGAATAGGAAGGGTCAAAAGGAAGAGTTTGAATTTATTTATTATGTTGTCCAATTAATCGAACTACTCTGTGTAACCGAAGAAAAGAGGGTAAAAATAAGAATAAACCTGCCCTTTCTCTATCAACTATAGTTAATCAGTTAACTAACTTCCCCTTTCTATCATAAACGAATCAATCAATGAACAACCCCAAAACCCCAAAGAAATAATCAGTTCCTGGGAGGGTTGGTTGACAGAGGCCCTTCCAGTCGAATGTAGTCATACATCAACCCGTAAAATGGCCCTGTATTGATCGCCTGCGTCAGGAAAACAGTGTTGCTCCCATCAACAAGCAGGCTGCCAGGAACAACCACGCTAAACAGCCTGTAAACCCCATGGATTCCATGCCTCGCGATCGTGTTATCCTTCCCAATCGACCCGGTCGTGAACAGTGGCACCGCCGAACTTGGATCGTTCACCCGAACCTGCAATTCTGCTCCATTTGCAGTCGCCAGAGCAATCCTCAGCGTGTAGTTCACATTCTGATACGCCCTGTCGAGGCTAAACTTGACCTGCCAGGTTGTTCCTTCATACGTCCCATTGTCACCCTTCTTCCTGGAAAATATTGGTTCAGACTGAAATTTTCAGAAACCCGTCGAAAACGGCATAATCCACTTTGAAGCCCGGGCTAGAATACCAAACCTGGTGACTTGTGCGAAGAACCAGTCCTTTCTGTAGTCGTCGGTTCGGACATTGTAGACCAAATCTGCTTCAGGGTACAGCTCTGCGTATCTTTCCCACAATCCATACTGCCTGTACCTGTTGTGAGGGCAATCAAATTTCGAAATTTCGATCACAATTAAGCGCCACCAAATCAAAATCCATGGTGGAATAAGAGATGAAGTAACAACTGGTAAATTTACTAACTTTTCCTGATGAAGGTAAAGCTTGTTAATGTAATTCGGATTAGCGTCAGGAATGAAGAACTCCCCCGCGGTTCTGTCAGGTACTCCGATTTCCCACAGAGTTGATGCGTTTCTTGGTGGCTCGAACACAAGATCTCCGACCTCAATGCTACGAGCTGGTGTTTGAAAAAAATACTCAAGTTCACGAATGAAAATAAACCAAAGTTTTCATAAAAGTTACATTAAGGGGCAAAAGGAAACAGTGGAAGGGACAAACCTGGGGTTATGTTAATGACAGCACCGTACTTGTAGTCTCCAATGAAGCCAGGAACCCAACCGTAGAGATTATACTGACCAGCTATAACATTGCTGATGCTGAATGAGCCGTCTTCCTCTACTTCTGTCCAAAATTGGTATCCCTGAGAAAAGGAAAGGACCATCAGAAATGAAGCTAGAGGGGAAAAAGACTCTGCTGCCAATTGAGAATTGTGAACCGGTTTGACAAAATTGATAAATCAGACCTTGGATTCGAGTTGCCACGAGCCGGGGTCGCCCGGAGCGGCCAAACCAATCCACGCACCGGTTGGAGGCAGGTTTCGAGTGCTGATTTCCGGGTCATGAACCGACAATCTGCCGGTTATGCCACCCCGCTGGTTGGGTATCGGATAATCTCGAGAACCCAAGAACTGATACGGCCACTGCTTGGCCTGAATCATCAGCTGATTCTTGGCATCATCCCACAACGACATCCCAGTGCCGCTGCTGCTGCTAACCTCGCTCTCAAGTGAGTTAAAGTAGACGAAAACCGGGCCGTACACTTTCTTCCACGCCTCGCCCGCTTCAAACGGGACCATCAGGTCGGCTCCCGTGTAATGCGTACTGTGGAACACCTGCCAACCCAATCGTGAGGGGAAAAAAGAGAGCGAGGAAACGTCAGCTTGCTCGATTGGCGAAACGAGAGTTTGGTCCAGTGGTAATAACACGTACGGCGAGGCAGGTGGGGCCGTCGTGGGAGGAGAGGAATTGCTTGAGTGGGCCGGCCGACCTGAACTCGGAAGTGGGCGTGATCTGCCAGAATCCGACTGACGAAGATGGGTCTTTGCCCATCCACCCGTGAACTTTGATGTCTCTGTTCTCCATCGAATACTCGTACTTGTCATCCACCTGATGCAACCACAACCACAACCACAACAACAAACCAGAAGTTAGCATGTCCAATTGAATCGTAACTCTGTCTCCTGGGTTGACTTTTTTTATTTTGTGCTGACCTCTCCTTTGAATTGGGGCTCGATTGGGTCAACGAGCAAGACGGCCTCCGGATAGGCTAGCGGCTGGCCTCTTGGAGGCACCCTATCTTCGGGCAACGGCATTGGTCGTTGCTTCTTGTCACTTATTGCCATGTAATGGAATCTGCATCAATGCTTGAAACATTGCTGTCACTGCTACTCATCTTCCAATTTGACTATTACTGTAAAATGTGCTTACTTACTTGTCTTTTCTGGGCTTGAGGACGAGGCGAGTGTTGGCGAGCTGAAAGGCCGGGTGCTGCTGTGAATGTTCATAAATGGCGTATGTGTAGAATCCTGACGACCCACGTCTCATTACGAACCTGTGAAAGTCCCAACCAAATCAAATTGGTGTTTTACTTTCTTTCACCATACCAGAAACCCAAAAGGCAGTGGGAGCAATGTTGAAAACAAGCACTCGTTTCTGTGAAAGAAAAATGCAACGACAACAACAAAAAAAGTAAGTAAGTTGTTGTATTGTGGATGTGGACCTTTTGTCGATATCGAGTGGGACGGGCTTGCCTTGAAGCTCAGAGCTCCACTTTCTCGTGAATGAAAGCTCCACCTGCTCCTCTTCCTCTGTTATTACTGTCAAGTTTTTACCCTCCAGCCTGCAGTTTTTGCATTACCATCAGTACTAACAGCCCCAATTTGTCTTCTTTGGCAGTCTGGGTTTGAGGTTGATAATGATTAGGTTAAGGACAAAGCAAAAAGTAGATACCTAAACGATTACCTGTCAAGGGCACCTTTCTTCTTGATGATTCCATCCCCTTTCCACACCACATCCCAGTACCTGTAAATTACCCCACAAGTTAGACAAAAGGTCAGCTCTCAACTAACAGCCCATTCGCCCCACCCTCTTACCCGAAAATTGCCCAATTTCACAACAAACCCTCAACCAACTGATGAAAGTGGTACACTTCCTCCAACCCTATTTGATATCATTTTACTCCCAAAATAAAAATCGTATACGTCAGTCACTAAACTGATATAACACAAACAAAAATGATCGATGTGTAACAATGTATTATTTACATATCTTTACCATATGTGTAACAATGTGCGGTACTATCTAATAGTCGACACTCTACCAAACATAACCTATTTGATCGGTCAATTTGGTATCACAACAAAAATTGGAGTACATGTGGTGGGCAGCCTACCCACGGTCAGTTTCACTCTTAACAACTTCAAGCAGATTGTCAATGCCGTTGTACTGAATTCCCGTCATCGAACCGCCGGGGTTCGTCAAGTTCACCTCAACTATTCCGTTTCCGACCACCACCTGCCACCACGGAAATCAAACATTAACCCAGAAACGAGAACGATAATTATTGTGTTTTGGAAGTGATAATTCTTACATATTGATCCATAATCTGCAGCTTCACCGGCGGGAACGAGTTCTGGCCGGCGGCCGGAGCTGAGACCTGCCGGCCGCCACCGTGATTTATTCGGGCCGACGCTTCTGAGAAGAAACACGACGAAGATGAGGTCATGAGTAGTAGAAGGAGACAGAGGGGAATTCCGGGCGCAGGATGTTCCATGATTGGTGGCCCCTTTTTTTTTTGGATGCTCTGTTTTTGTTTTTCCCCCTCTATGCTCTGTTCTTTTTTTTTTTTTCTTCTTTCTTTGGACAAGTCACAAGAGTGAAGTGATGATAAAACAAGGAATCGGGGGACGCCTTCGCTTCGTATCGTGCTAGATATGAATCAGCGGCTGGTTGAAATTTGGTTGGATATCAGTTGCTTTGTCGTTTGTTATTCCTGGAAAAGGAAAGAGCAGAAAGGAAGTTCTTGCAGAGTTACCAAACTCACAATACATGACTTGTGCACTATTTATATGTATCCCTTTTTTCTTTACAGCAAAAAACATAAGGAAATAAAACTGGCATCTGCAGTATCATTCATAATAATCTTATATTAGTTGGGAAATCGGGGATTTTTTAGGATTAATTGAGATTTGAGGTTTCCTTTTTTGATTACTGGTATTATTTCGTAAGTAACATAACTGGCAGTGAATATGGAGGAAAATTCCAAAAAATGCAATGAAATGAGTGATGCATTGTGAATGGTACCGAATATTCACATAGTAATTAATTATCATAAAAAAAAATTTAATTGAAATCAAAGAGAGGAATAAAGTTGGTGAATTTTCACTTTAGTCTGTGTTACTGCACCACTACTCTGTATTTAAGGTTTCAGAGCGTTTGCCCGAATTTATTAATTTCAGGATTTTACGGACTTATTTTGACGGGCTTAATATATTGTCAATTAAGTTAAGTGGCTATTAAGGGAGCGGATTAATTACTGGAAAATAAAGGAAATTAACTTAATGGGTTCTTCAATGGGTGTCACCGTTGAAAGCAAAGCATATTTTCAAATTCACAATTGATACCTTATATGCCAGTCACAAAAATTTACTATCAATGCTTTAAAATCGTAATTAACGCGTTTCAATAATATTTAAATAAATTTTAAATGCCTGAATGAGCTAAAATGTTGTTTTTGTTATACTGATTTTACCTTGAAGGTTGGTGTATTCTACATGAGTGATACTTACAATATGATGTAATTGAATAAATATGTAATTTTTTTACTGCATTTGAAATGCTGCATGTCTAATTTGAAAATGAGTCAGGATATCAAATACATTCTCATAAAGTATTTGAAAATTCACTTAAAAAAATGGGCGTGTCTCATCTCTCTATTGTAGTCAAGTAACCACCATTTTGGGAGAAAATAGTTGAGTATTGATGTCACCTAGAGGTGTCAACTTTATTTCAATTTATATATATCCAGTTCATTCACTAAAAAAATTCATTTAATTCAAGTGAAAATAGATTGGCTTAATAAATTGTTGAAAAATTACACGATAGTATCTATATATTTTGCATTTCACAATTTGATACTTAAATCATAGTTTATAATTATAATATTATTTTTTAAGTTACATTTTGCTATCAAAATTTATTATAGTTACATTTGAGAACCTAAAATTTTAAAAAAAATTCATAATAATCCAACACTTACATATGCCATCTCTCTGATATCCGTACATAACAAAACTAAACCTAGCATTAAATTAAACGTTTGCCATATATGCATGTAAACATTCCCTCCTTATTCTCATCCTTTGTTTTCTTATAATATAATAATAATATCCTTCTTGCATGCTACGTTACGACGATTAGGATAACCACCACCTATTTTGTTGTTAGCTACCCATGTCCAAAGAAAGCAATAGAGATGGATAATAATTGAATAATTGATCAGTCCACGTAGTGAAAAAAACAAAAAAAAAATTACAATAATTAATTAATTAATTTACTAACAAAATATCAATTCACTATTCATCATCAGAAATTTGCAGCAAAATAATTTTCAAAGTAAACAGAAAGACTTGGATGCGAAACATGAAAAATATTCTATAGCTGCCCCTGAAGAAATTAAGAAGCTAAAGTCACGTAATTGTTCATGAAATTAACAATGCATTTTGCATAATACATTGGTATCACAAATTTCAAATCACTATTAGAATGATACAAACGTCAAACGCAAACATACCTGAAATTGCTGTTCCGATCGAATTCCAGGGCAAGAGAGAAGAGCAATTTGTGGATGAGAAGAACCTCGGACTGAAAGGGTCTTTCATCATTTATAAAGGCTTCGGGAGAATTCACTTTTCTTCTTCTTCTTCTTTTTTGGTAAGTAAGTAATAAGGCGACGACAGTTGAGTTGGGTAGATTGGGGAACATGGGAGTTCGAGTAGAGAGAAAGGTAGCATATATGCTTCTCTCCTCTTCTGTCTTTCTCCTAACATGTACGTACTTTACTTAGCTTTTGGTGGTTGCATTACATTGTTGATGGAGCAGCGCATTAGTAATTCATCGCTTTCTTTTTGGGTTTCCTTTATCCTGCCGTCATGTATTAGGTTTGCCCTTCCCGCCGCACTTTTTTTGAACTACCTTTTTGTATTGGATTGGGTATGAATTGCCGCTAGGAGTGAACAAAATCACACACAAACGCACCCATCCGTTCAATTCGATCCAATCCATCCGCATTTATCGTTAAAATAAAAGTTTAAAGTTGGATGAGAGGTTTCTTTTGTACAACCCGTCTCCTTTGAGTTGAGTTTGAATTTTGCGTTAGACAACCCATAAGATCCGACCCAACCAGTGTCCCAACTTTTAGTATGAGTGTTTTATATAAAAAAAACTGTCTTAAATTAGCATATTTGTGAGAAAATGAAGATATTTTGACATATTTTTTTCTCGTGGTCTCCCTAACCTATACATTGTTCAACTTAAATTTAGACATAGATTTAATATAGACTATGATTCACGTAATCATTTTTCTTGTATACAATTTTAAGAAAATATATTATGAGTGTGTCTTTTATATCCTCTTTAGCCTATTTTAGCAAATGTTTGTGACAAAAACTAGACATATGTTGAAGCAAATCTCATTTTATTAAAATTAAAACAACAATTACACATTTTGATGTTTTTCACGTCCATTTACTCGTTTGAAATTTTAGTTAGTTATATAATATTTTATGGTGTAGAATAATTTTTTTTATGTTGGGTTGATTTTTTACTTAAAAGTATCACCAACCCGGCTCAACCCAATTATAAACAAACCGTAGGGTTTTAATGTTGTTGGGTGGGTTTGGATTTAGTATTTTCAAAACCGTAGGACATGAGTTGGGACGACGTTGGATGATTAAAATGACTAAACCCAGACCACCTAACCCATGTACACCTCTAATTGCCACAGAGCAGAATGGATCTGTCATTGACAGTTGCGGCCCATTTTTATTTGGGTAAATAATGATGGAGTCAGGAATTTGAATGAGAGTGGGCTAATTTGAACCGAGATAATTGGGAGGCCGAAATTAAGGCCTTACCAAGTACTCTATTTCATATATTCGTTGCGAATTTTACTTACAGTTTTACCTATATTTTCAATTTGAGAGCGCTAACTCCAACACTGATGCATGTTTTTCTTTACAGAAACGCACTATTGTACATGGGCACCGGTCGTGCCGCCCACGTGCTAGCACGGCACAGCACGGTTAGAGCACGGCATGAACACGAGTACGAAATAAATGAACCAGCTCGATACGAGCACGAATAATCTATGGGTCGTACCGGGCTGAAGCAATGATGTGAAGCGGGTGGCTGGTGTGCTACCCACTGCAACTTATTAATTCTTTCCACATTTCCCTGCATTGGGATTTTGAGGTGATTAATTCGCCCTATCTAGCCATCAGAAAACAGCTTCTGGGCCACAGCAACATATATCAACTAATTGGAATGCGCCTTCCCGTGGAGGCCAAGCTAACTCGATCGGACAGCCGCCACCGGCCAGCACCACTAAACTTTTTTTTTTTTTTTTGTCGTATAGCTTGTCCTTGTTTGAGAGGAATCAAGCAGCCAACATCAAATTCTCAAATAAAAGGACAATTACAATTATTCCAACGATTATTATGTGCATATATATATATATATATACGATTATTATGTGCATATATATATATATATATATATATATATATATATATATGTGTATATGACAAATGTACACATGATCGTGACAGAATATGACCATGGAAAGAGGGCCTGCACCTGATTTTCACTCGTTTGAATCCAACCTTCGTCAACCACAACACATACAAAGAAAGAGATAGTTAGTTGGAGTGATGTCGTACGAGGAAAATTCAAGACTTTCTCTATAATTATGCGTTTGAATAGCATTGTCACTTTTACTTTCTTCTTGGTCGTGTAATGTAAGCTTGGGCTTTAGTGCTATGTTAGTGATATACAAACGAACAGGGCCTGCCCTGAGATTTTGGAGGTCCTGTTCTGTAAACAAAATGTGGTCCAAATTATTTTTTATTAAAATATATAATAAAATATAAATAAAGCATGGATCGATAAATAAAAATAATCTCTTTATTTAAAAATAATATCTATATAATATGATTTGTAATAAAGAGTGACAATGATTTAAATAGTAAGATGTAATTAAAACATTAATTATAATTTTAGAAAAATCAAATAGTATTAACAAATAATAGAATAAACTAAATTCGAAAGGAGAAACTGATAATTTTTTTAGTCTAAAATTAAGTATGGTACAAACTATTTATAATTAATTTAGTTATTTTTCCTTTTCTACTGTTGGTGGCTTGTACCTAATTATTATAGTTAATATTTAATAAATCAATGTGTATTATTTAATTAATTTAGGATTACTAACTTGATAGTACAAATAGATCAATTAACAAAATTGAATTATTTTTCTCCTTGGAATGTTGAAAATGAAGAAACTTAAAGCAAAAAATTTAATAATGCTAATAATGAGGCATTACCAATCTTAAAATTTTTATTATATTTAGCAAACACACGAAAAAAATGATTTATGTTATATGATTTGAAAAAGTTTAATAATTAAGAAAGTAAGTTTTCCCCTCATGTGATCCGTTTGTTCTTAAATTTTGTAATATTATTGCTTTAGACCCATAATCAAAACACATTTCATAAATTTTCTATTATTTTATATTTATCATCGAAATCTAATAACCCATAAATATAATTAGTCATATACGCGATGGAGGTCTAGAGGCCCCAAATTGGAGGCCCTCTTACCAAAAAATAAAAATTTGGAGACCATGTGCCAGAGGGCGTGCCAGCACACTGATTCGGGCTCAAATGTACTCATTTTACCCCTCATTTCTTATTTGTTGAGCTTAGTATTTCATCGTTCCTCGACATATTTCATGCTAGGTTGTGCTTGTTTTGATACATTTCAGGTCCTAGCACATGTGGAAGGGTCGAGGACGAGTTTTGGGATATTTGGAGGTCAAAAAGCACAAAAACCAAAGAAAAGTCCGAAGTCACTATTTAGATGCAATGGTCTCTAAGACCATGAACTGGGGACATTGACCGTGAACCCATGTGAGTGAAGCGGCGCATTTTGGATGACGCTGGGTTCACGGACGCCTTTAGGTGTTCATGGCCGTGAACTGGCCAATGCATCCGTGAACTGATCGCTTTCCGGCAAATATGAAGACAAAAACATAGAGAGAGAGAGAGAGGCGAGTTGGTTTTTGGGGAAGAAACACTTTCTTTCTCTAGGATTTCAACCTAAACACCAAAGGGGAGTTCTAGTGAGAGAGAGAGAGTGATCTTGAACAATCATTGGAGGCTAGGGTGGAAGATTCAAGCCTAGAAGAAGAAGATCTTGAGATCAAATTTGTAATCCCTCTCTCTCTCTCTCTCTTTCTCTCTAGAAACTCACTCTTTTCTCTTTGGGTGTTGTAGATCCCTAACTAATACTTTGTGATTACTTGTCTAGATTGAATGATTGTCATTGGGTATTGGTTAAGTCGATGTTTGAGGCATTATTCACCATGATTATGCATGCTTGTGCTTAGCAACTTAGGGGTTGTGCATGTTTTGTGCTTAGCATCCTAGGGATTGTACATAATTATGCTTAGCACCTTTAAGTTTGTGCATTTAGGTTCTAGTAATCTAATTTGCCACCTTAGCCTAGTTTAGAGAGGAAAATCCCTCTGTCAAGGGATACTCAATCGAGTTAGTTTTCCTTCCGCTTTCTAAGCCACCTAAACTAGGTTGAGTTAGGGCAACCTCAATATTGAATTAAACAAGTCGATTAATCGTGGTTAAACCGTCTGTAACACCCTACCCTATACGTTTTGCCTAATCATATTGTTCATACAATTGCAGCGGAATTAATCTCGGGTGTTACATTAATTATCAAAATTTACCCAAATAAAATTTCGACATGAATTACTCGCGTAATGGGCTAACAGTTCTTGCAACTTATCCTGCAAAATAATTCACAAACATATATACTCACAGCCATATACATTGGCTTTTCTTAGCCATAGTCACAGTTTTCATACTCCACAACTGCATACCATACTTATACAAGCCATAATAGTCACAACTTACACAGTTACACAACATATACATATATCATCAACTTTCCACACCTGTGGATATCTCACACTACATCAGAAGCTAGTATGCACATGAAAAACGTTCTCAAAACATTTTTACAAAAGGGTGTGGATCACTGGCCAAAATCCCGAGTAGTAGTCCAAGCACATAATGGTTGAAGACCATACCTCATCTTGCCTTCAACTCTTTCTCAGCTCCCACCTATACACCTATCTACTGCCGCTGATGATCTGCTTACACATGGCATAAGCATAGAAGAAGAATAAAAGAGGGTCAGCTCATAGCTGAGTGAGATAATCATAGCATCGTGAGTTCATAACAGAGCATACCCCTATCATACATCTAACAATCAAGCCAAAACACTAGGATCGGATCTCAGCCCTCCGACATCCCAATAGGCAAAAGACTCAACCACCTTGACTTATGCATATGCATCTTATCATGTTTTAATCATAGGCGCCTGGCTACTCCCATGCTAATAACTCTCCCGGGAAACATACCACACATCCCGTCGGATGTAGTCATACATACCCCAACATCCCGTCGGATGTGGTCATACATACCCCACACCACTATGGGTGTAGTCATACCCCGACACCACTCTGGGTGTGGTCATATCTCGTAAGAAAACTTCAGTCACCACCACATGAGAGGTGTGACTATCATACTTATCATAATAGAGTAATAGCATATGGAGCCCTAATTACTATGTAGTTGACCGTGAGACCACAACACTCATATTTGGTATCCTTATACATGATTCATATCTCATCTTGCTTAATCATAATTCGTTAGTTGCACATGTACTTGACCAGGCCACAATTGGCTCAACATAGGTAAATCAGGAGTCGTATAATTGCACTTCCTCGGGATAAACCCTCGTGCAAGTCATCCTCCTTAAAACATCATAATATCACCTTGGGAAGTTTATTCCCCCACTTATGGATCCAAATACAACCATAATATCACACCATGTCAAAACCCCTTATCGAACAACCATGAAGTCATATCAACAATTAAGCCACAAATGGCAACATGTATGCAATCATCCACATAAACAAGGTTCATATCGATTAGGGCAAGTCAATAATATCATACAGCAGTCCAGGGTTCATCATATAGCACGAAAGTCCATACACCCCTAACCATGCCATTCTAGGTCACCTAGGTCAATTCTAAGCATCAATATAATTATCGTGATACGACAAACCCGGTATGCCGTGCTAATCCCTCACCAGTTCTGGTCGTTCAAACACCGGTTTAACCTTCCCGTACTAAAACGTCAATTTCACGAACGAACCCCGAATTAAAATCCGAGACCGTCTTAATATCTCCTGCAGTATCCCCGTCAATATTAGTTCTAGGCTCCGGGTCAAATTCTCGATAAAAACACATCCAACCCTGGCCGGAGCTAAATTCAGCGGTTTGGACCCCGGCCTAAATAATTGCCGAAATTCAAGGATTAGAACTAGAGGATTGATTACCTCGCTGCAGGAAGCTCGTATATGAAATTTGGGCTCAATCCGGCTTCTGGATACTCCGAAACCCTAATTTGGCTTATCGGGAATTCAAGAAATTTCTGAACCAAAAACTCGTTTTAAAGCTCTAAATCGACAAATCACGATGTATGATGAATTAGGCATTACTTACGGGATTTTTGGATCAGTGTAGCTCAAGAATTGAGCTTTGTAATTTTCCCCCGCGATGCCCTGTGCGCCTCTAATTCTTGGTCCAGAAAAATGTAACTGAAGAAGAAGATTGATGGAGATAATGGACCGGGGGAAAGTTCATATATATATGCCGCCCGGAATTATTTATATATATATATATATAATATTATATATAATTAATACGTATACTTATCCGATCGATCGATAATCCGATTTTCGCCGAAATAGTGTCGACATGCTCGATTTTAAATCGCGAACTTTCTAGCGATCGAAATATGGGTTTTGCCGGAACGGGATGTTACAATTCTCCCCTCCTTAAAAGATTTCGTCCCCGGAATCTAACCTTGAGTCGTACTCTAACTCCTCTTACTAACCCTTAATATGGTCTATCATGCATAAAGTCATTACCTAACTCTTAGGTTAGGCAATTCATAACATAGAAAATAACACATAACACCTCAAGTTCCCATGTTTAGGTTTCAAAAACCTATACTGGGCTATCACAACAAAAGCACATCAACAAGCTGAAAACATAACTTATTAGGCAAGATTGTTAACCTGCAAAGTAGGTGGCTACTAACTCAGGGTACTTCTCTCGCATACTTGCTTCAGTTTCCCATGTAGCACTCTCACTATCTTGATTTCTCCACACCACCTTCAACATTGGAATTTCCCTCCTACGAAGAGTCTTAATCTGAAAATCAACAATCTCAACTGGAACCTCCTCAAAAGTCAAATCTGAACCCAACTCGATCTCTTCTGGTTGTATAACATGGGAAGGATCCACTTTGTACCTCTTCAGCATACTAACATGAAATACATTATGGATTTGGGATAGTTCTGGAGGCAATGCTAACTTATAAGCCACTGGTCCAATCTTCTCTGTGATTTCATATGGCCCAATATATCGAGGTGCAAGCTTTCCTTTCTTACCAAATCTCATCACCCCTTTCCATGGTGACACTTTGAGAAATAATTTCTCACCCACTTCGAAATTAACTTCACGCCTATTCGTGTCAACATAAACTTTCTGTCGATCTTGAGCCACCCTCAACCGCTCCCTGATTTCCTTGACCTTGTCAACTGTGATCTGAACTATCTCTGGCCCTGATATTTGCCTTGCTCCTTCTACATCCCAACATAATGGTGTCCTGCATTTCCTCCCATAAAGCGCTTCATATGGTGGAACACCCAAGCTACTATGGTATTGGTTGTTGTAAGCAAACTCTATTAGGGGCAAATGGTCAATCCATGATTCTTCCCATTGCATTACACATGATCGAAGTAATTCCTCCAAAGTTAGGATGGTTCGTTCACTCTGCCCATCTGTTTGAGGATAATAAGCTGAAGTGAAATGCAGTTTAGTTCCCAAGGAAACATGTAAACTTTGCCAAAACCGAGATGTGAAGCTCGGGTCTCGATCAGAGACAATAGAAATTGGCACACCATGCAATCTGACGATCTCCTTAATATATAGTTGAGACAAAGTCTCCAGTGATGGTTTCCATCTAATGGGTAAAAAGTGAGCCGATTTGGTTAGTCGGTCCACAATAACCCATACTGCATCCTTTCCCCTTGATGATGGGAGACCATATACAAAATCCATTGTGATTCTTTCCCACTTCCATTCTGGAATTGGAAGTGGTTGCAGTTTTCCCACTGGAGCTTGATGTTCTGCCTTAACTTTCTGACATACTAGACATGTGAAAACATGTTCAGCCGCTTCCTTTTTCATCCCACGCCACCAAAAATATGGTTTGATCGTGTGATACATTTTAGTTGCTCCTGGGTGCATAGCATAAGCAGAAGAATGAGCTTCATCTAGGATCTCTTTCCTCAAGTTATCAACATTAGGAACACATGCTCTTCCATTCATCTTCAACATGCCATCTACCATTTCAAATGGGCTTTCTTTTCCTTCCTCAATGTCTTGAATGATTTTTGCCAACTCTGGGTCCTCCTTCTGCTTCTCACGAATTTTGTCATGCAACAAAGGTCGAATGTTCAACCAAGCTAGTAACCCTGTCACACCATCCACTTCCAAATCCACATTCATTGCCCTCAAATCAACCAGATCATTTATATTCTTCTTCCCCTTTCTGCTTAGGGCATCCGCAACTACATTAGCTTTACCTGGATGGTAATCAATGGTACAATCATAATCTTTCAACAACTCTATCCATCTCCTCTGGCGACTATTTAAATCCTTCTGATCCATAATATACTTCAAGCTTTTGTGATCAGTTAGGATTTTAAAAGTCTCACCATACAAATAATGTCGCCAAATCTTGAGAGCAAATACCACCGCTGCCAATTCTAAGTCATGAGTGGGATAATTTACTTCATGAGGACGCAATTGCCTAGAGGCATATGCGATAACTCTTCCATCTTGCATTAACACACAACCCAGTCCTTGATATGAGGCATCACTATACACCACAAACTCCCCATGGTTTGAAGGTAAAGCCACTACTGGTGCTGTGGTCAATTTCTTCTTCAGATCATCAAAACTCTTCTGACATGATTCATCCCAAACATACTTGGTATTCTTCCTCAACAGTTTAGTCAATGGTGCAGCAATTTTGGAAAATCCTTCTACGAACTGCCGATAGTAACCAGCCATGCCAAGAAAACTTCTCAACTCAGACACATCTTTTGGTGGAGCCCAACTCACCACTTCTTCCACCTTTTTTGGATCCACCTCGACACCTCTTCCAGAAATTACATGTCCCAGAAATATTACCTCCTTCAGCCAAAACTCACATTTTGAGAATTTTGCATATAATTGTTTCTCTCTTAGAATTTGCAACACAATTCTAAGGTGAGTTTTGTGCTCCTCCTCGCTTTTAGAATAGATGAGAATATCATCTATGAACACAATCACAAACTTATCAAGATATTCATGCAAAACTCTGTTCATAAGAGCCATAAATACCGCTGGTGCATTAGTGAGTCCAAAAGGCATTACCAGGAACTCATAATGCCCATATCTTGTTCTAAAAGCCGTCTTTGAAGTTGCTCCATCTGCCACTTTCAATTGATGGTATCCAGACCTCAAATCAATCTTAGAAAAGACTGATGCACCCTGCAATTGATCAAACAAATCATCTATTCTTGGAAGGGGATAACGATTCTTCACTGTCGCCTTATTCAACCTCCGGTAGTCAATGCACATTCTCATGGAGCCCTCTTTCTTCTTGACAAACAAAACCGGTGCACCCCAAGGTGAGATGCTAGGTCGAATAAACCCCTTGTCTAACAATTCTTGCAATTGTTCTTTAAGCTCCTTCAGCTCAATTGGTGCCATTCTATATGGTGCCATTGAAATTGGTGTTGTGCCAGGTACCAATTCAATATCAAACTCTACTTCCCTTTCTGGTGGAAGGCCGGGAAGTTCTTCGGGGAATACATCAGGAAACTCCCTTACCACCTCTACATCCTCAACCTTCTTATCATTTACAACAGTAACTTGAGCAAGAAAGGCTTCACAACCTTCCTTCACTAACCGAAAAGCTTCCAAGGCAGAAAGAAAACCATGAGTCTCCTTTTTCTTAATGCCTCGAAATACAACATGACCTTTATCTGGTGTGTTAAATAACACTTCTTTCTTTTGACAATCCACAACAGCTCCATGTGTTGCCAGAAAGTCCATTCCAAGGATGACATCAAATTCATCAAAAGGTAGCAGAATTAAATCTGCTGCTAGGAAAGCTCCTTCCACACAAATGAAGGAACTTCTAATAACTGAGTCTACCTTCAAGGTATCTCCCACAGGTGTTTTAACACATAAGGTATAACCTAGCTTATCTAGAACTAAGCGTAGCATATGTGCAAACGTATATGACATGAATGAGTGAGAGGAACCAGTATCGATCAAAGCATATAATTGCTTGCCAAGGATAGAAAGCATACCAGTCACAACTTCTGGTGCCACTTCTGCCTCACCTCGAGTCATTGCATAAACCCTTGGTGCTCCCTGTGCTCTGGTACCCTGCGTACCACTTCCTGATGGCTGATTTCGACCACCACCTCTACCACCCTGTGTACCACCACGACCACTCTGAAATCCACTACGGCCTCCCTGGTAACCACCCCTGAATGGGGCTCTACTCATTTGCACTGAAGGCTCGGACTGTGTAGCTCTTACTTCTCTCGCATGCGGGCAATCCCTCATGATGTGCCCAGGTTGGCCACAGTGAAAGCATACACCACAAAATCTCCTACACTCTCCAAGATGCCTCTTCTGACAAACTTGACAAAATGGAAATTGTGTGGCTGAGGAAATTGGTGCCCTGTATGATGTTCCTGGCATAGATTGACTCGGTGTTCTCCCAAAACTGCTAGGACCTCTCCTGGGTGGGTAACGAGGTCCAGCATAATTTACTCCAAACTTCCTCTTCTTCTCCTCTTCTTTAGCCTTGTGTTCCTCTCGGCTCTCAACTTCATAGGCTTCATACTTAAGTGCTGCCTCCTTGATTGTGGCCATACTCTCTTCATCAACCCTGTGGACCTTTTCTTTCAACCCTATGCGCAGACCATGCAAGTATCTCATCTTCTTCTTATGCTCAGTATCCGCCAACCCATCCTCAAAGTAAAGCAGTCGAACAAACTTGATGGTGTACTCAGTAACTGTCATATTCTCCTGCTTAAGGTTGGCAAATTCATTGTTCTTTGCCCTGATAAAAGCTTCGGGAAGAAACTCTGTCTTAAAGGCCTTCAGGAACTCCTCCCAGGTGAAATGAACTCGTTCACCATTAACTCTAGAGACTGAGGACCACCAGCTCCTCGCGTACCCCTTTAGGAGAAGAACAACATATTGTACTTTTTCCTCTAGGGTCGCATAAAGATATTCAAACACATCTTCCATCTCCCTCAACCACTCTACCACAGCATCCGGACTCACATCTCCTTTAAAGTCCCTACCACCCAAACTCTTCATCTTTGCATAATCTAATACTGGCGGTCTTGCATCAACCGCCCCCACTCCTCTCGATTTGTCAGTAGGAACATTATGACAACTTCCGTGCTAGCTACAAGGAAATATTGGCCTTAGATTGATCCACACAAAATTCATTCTTCACCAAATCTCTCACTTGGTTAAAACAAAAAATATTTTCCAAAATAATTACTTGAAAACAAATAAGTTCAAAACTCAATTTTGAAAACCATGATGCAGATAATTTCATCCAATATACCAATACACATAATCATGTAAAACTCAATTCCCAGTTTAAGTCATTATGGGGTACTAGGTTGAGTTAGGGCAACCTCAATATTGAATTAAACAAGTCGATTAATCGTGGTTAAACCGTCTGTAACACCCTACCCTATACGTTTTGCCTAATCATATTGTTCATACAATTGCAGCGGAATTAATCTCGGGTGTTACATTAATTATCAAAATTTACCCAAATAAAATTTCGACATGAATTACTCGCGTAATGGGCTAACAGTTCTTGCAACTTATCCTGCAAAATAATTCACAAACATATATACTCACAGCCATATACATTGGCTTTTCTTAGCCATAGTCACAGTTTTCATACTCCACAACTGCATACCATACTTATACAAGCCATAATAGTCACAACTTACACAGTTACACAACATATACATATATCATCAACTTTCCACACCTGTGGATATCTCACACTACATCAGAAGCTAGTATGCACATGAAAAACGTTCTCAAAACATTTTTACAAAAGGGTGTGGATCACTGGCCAAAATCCCGAGTAGTAGTCCAAGCACATAATGGTTGTAGACCATACCTCATCTTGCCTTCAACTCTTTCTCAGCTCCCACCTATACACCTATCTACTGCCGCTGATGATCTGCTTACACATGGCATAAGCATAGAAGAAGAATAAAAGAGGGTCAGCTCATAGCTGAGTGAGATAATCATAGCATCGTGAGTTCATAACAGAGCATACCCCTATCATACATCTAACAATCAAGCCAAAACACTAGGATCGGATCTCAGCCCTCCGACATCCCAATAGGCAAAAGACTCAACCACCTTGACTTATGCATATGCATCTTATCATGTTTTAATCATAGGCGCCTGGCTACTCCCATGCTAATAACTCTCCCGGGAAACATACCCCACATCCCGTCGGATGTAGTCATACATACCCCAACATCCCGTCGGATGTGGTCATACATACCCCACACCACTATGGGTGTAGTCATACCCCGACACCACTCTGGGTGTGGTCATATCTCGTAAGAAAACTTCAGTCACCACCACATGAGAGGTGTGACTATCATACTTATCATAATAGAGTAATAGCATAGGGAGCCCTAATTACTATGTAGTTGACCGTGAGACCACAACACTCATATTTGGTATCCTTATACATGATTCATATCTCATCTTGCTTAATCATAATTCGTTACTTGCACATGTACTTGACCAGGCTACAATTGGCTCAACATAGGTAAATCAGGAGTCGTATAATTGCACTTCCTCGGGATAAACCCTCGTGCAAGTCATCCTCCTTAAAACATCATAATATCACCTTGGGAAGTTTATTCCCCCACTTATGGATCCAAATACAACCATAATATCACACCATGTCAAAACCTCTTATCGAACAACCATGAAGTCATATCAACAATTAAGCCACAAATGGCAACATGTATGCAATCATCCACATAAACAAGGTTCATATCGATTAGGGCAAGTCAATAATATCATACAGCAGTCCAGGGTTCATCATATAGCACGAAAGTCCATACACCCCTAATCATGCCATTCTAGTAAACCTAGGTCAATTCTAAGCATCAATATAATTATCGTGATACGACAAACCCGGTATGCCGTGCTAATCCCTCACCAGTTCTGGTCGTTCAAACACCGGTTTAACCTTCCCGTACTAAAACGTCAATTTCACGAACGAACCCCGAATTAAAATCCGAGACCGTCTTAATATCTCCTGCAGTATCCCCGTCAATATTAGTTCTAGGCTCCGGGTCAAATTCTCGATAAAACCACATCAAACCCTGGCCGGAGCTAAATTCAGCGGTTTGGACCCTGGCCTAAATAATTGCCGAAATTCAAGGATTAGAACTAGAGGATTGATTACCTCGCTGCAGGAAGCTCGTATATGAAATTTGGGCTCAATCCGGCTTCCGGATACTCCGAAACCCTAATTTGGCTTATCGGGAATTCAAGAAATTTCTGAACCAAAAACTTGTTTTAAAGCTCTAAATCGATAAATCACGATGTATGATGAATTAGGCATTACTTACGGGATTTTTGGATCAGTGTAGCTCAAGAATTGAGCTTTGTAATTTTCCCCCGCGATGCCCTGTGCGCCTCTAATTCTCGGTCCAGAAAAATGTAACTGAAGAAGAAGATTGATGGAGATAATGGATCCGGGGGAAATTTTATATATATATGCCGCCCGGAATTATTTATCTTTATATATATATAATATTATATATATAATTAATACGTATACTTATCCGATCGATCGATAATCCGATTTTCGCCGAAATAGTGTCGACATGCTCGATTTTAAATCGCGAACTTTGTAGCGATCGAAATATGGGTTTTGCCGGAACGGGATGTTACACCGTCCGACCTTCGAGTTGAGTGAGGAAGTAAGCCGATTACCGATTGTCTAAACCGAGAGGGTCGAGTGACACGGCCTTTCATCCTCACCTCGGTTTAGCAGTTGAGACTGTGGTAGCTAGTTACCAAGACTGTGGTTTAGCAGTTGCTTCCCCCTAACTAGACCTAAGCCAATCTTTCCAATCCAACGAGTCTTGGTAGCTAGTTAGGGGGAAGCAACTCCTGGGTGAAGCTCCTTAGTTAGGATTTTCCTTTATTTACTTTTCCTTGTTAGTTTAGTTTGTAGTTTTCATAGTTCTAAAACCAAAAGTTTTTTGCTAGATAACAACCTAAGCGATTGAAGTAGGGGTACATGGATCGACCCGGGTTCACAATAAAAATACTTGCTCTATACTGCACCCGGTTAGAGTTTAGAAACTTGTCCTCTAGTCGGGATTAATTTGTGGTGTAGTTTCATGCGAGTCAAGTTTTCGGCGCCATTGCCGGGGAACCGCGGTCCATTATTTTGAAAAGGTCGCTTAGTGTTAATCTAGCATTTTCTATCTTGTCTTTTTGTTTGTGTTTTGTGTTTCGTGTTGTGTTTGTTTGATTTTCTTTTTGTGTTTTTGTTTGTGTAGGTTATGAACCATGGATCCCAATGGCTTCTACAATATGTGGGGGTATCCACAACCACCCGAATGGGGGTACCCCGGAGCTTCATGGAGTGAACAAGAAGGGGGAAGCCAAGGATCTGGGTTCTATTACCAACCCCCCTTCCAAGAAGAACAACCATACCAATGGGGGTACGAAGAGGCTTCCCCATATCAAGAAAATTTCCGTCCACAACCCGAGGAGAAATCCAAGTTGGAGTTGACCATGGAGGCTTTCATGGCACAAGCCTCAAAGAGAAAATTGGAGCTCATGGTGGAGCGGTTTATTCGAGGCACCAATGAAGGGTGTTCGAACTTGGATCTCCCACAACCCGAAGCGAAGTCCAAGTTGGAGCTTACCGTGGAGAATTTTACAAGAACAAGCTCCAATACGGATTTCCAACCCCTCCCTCCTCCCGGTTTGACACTAGAAGAGAAAGTGGCATGAGCTTGCGAAAGCTATCGCCTCTCATTATTGGAGGAGAAAGAGGAGGTTGAAAGAGCAATCAATGACAATCGTGTGGAGCAAGAAGAACTCACCCCGGAGAGCTCCCGTGGTGAGGATGAACAAGAAGGTTGCATTGATGACTCCCATCAATTTCCCCTTATCGAAAGCAATTGTGAAGACCAAGACACGAGTGTGGAGGAGCAAGAGAATCCCTTCTATGACCTTGCATGGCATCTTGCCCTCAAATTCGTGCTTGAAGACATGAATGGGAAGGAAAAAGAAGAGGTTGAAGAGGAGGAAGCAAGCTTTAAAGAGGAGGAAGATCTTGGGTGTTCCCAAGGGGAGGAAACTGAAGAAGAAGGAAGGGAGGTTGAGGAAGAAGAAGAAGAATGAGCAAGCGGTGTCCGAGCAATGGACGAGGTCGAGGTGGATGAAGCATCCATAAGTTACAAGTGCTATGAAAGCTTTCCACCCGACCTCGATGCGCTTTTGGAGAAGGACCCGTTTGTTGCTCTTTGCCAAGCCAAGGCCAAGCTGTCGGCGATCCCCCTTGGTGGATGAGATGGAAGTGGAGCGAGTTTTCACTACATGGTGTGGGGCAAAGAGAAAGATGAAGAAGGAAAGAAGGAGAGGTCTCGTGGGTGGACCCTCAAAGTCGATCAAGTTCACGAGCCCTCAATCATGGATTCTTCCAATGCTCGTGACTTGAGACATCACCTCATCGACGAGAACCTCAACTTCAAGGAGTTTCTTGGGTGGACCAAAACTAGAGGAGCAACCATCCGGCTCACGGCGTTAAGAAAGCGCTTGGTGGGAGGCAACCCAACCATCAACGGTTTGCATCTCTTTTCCTTTCAATAAGACAATCAATGAAGAGATTTTGGTGGTGTTGTGCCGTCTCCTTGCTCTTCCGGATATCACCCGCCCTCCGCTCCCGACCACAAACATTCACAACATGACCGGTAACGTCATTCGATCCCTTTCTTTTACGCCATTGAGGGCAATGTCGAGCTTAAGTGTGTGTGTGTGTGGGGGGGGGGGGGGGGGTAGTCATGTGTGTGTGAATGTTTGGTGTGGTTTTGAATGCTTAGAGCCTTGATGTATGCCCAAATTTTAAAAATTTGAGGGCTCGAAGCATAACAACTTCTACATTTGCATGATCATAGTGGCACCTTGTGGTGACTTGTTTTGAATCTCGTGGTTATTAGCATTGTCTATGGATGATTTGCTTGTGATTTTGTGCAACCTATGATGATGATTGAGACATGTATTAGGTTTGTGCATAGGTTCATTTCTCATGTGCTTGTGAACCGATAGATGTTTTGAATCGATTACTCGCTTTTCACAGTTGCCTATGCATCGATTACTCGCATAGATGTTTTGAATCGATTACCTAGGTAGCCATGTGAGACTTGTGCCGTTCATTTCGTTCTTGTGCGATAGTTCCCCCTTTACATGATGCGTAGCATTCACGTTGTTACTAGCGAGGAAGATGGAGGCATATGTTTAGTCCACGACCCAAATGTTGACCGACCCGATCATAACATCCCTTACACTCTATTTGGCAACGAGGAGGGAGAAAATTTAGAGGAGGGTGCAAATTGAGGGGTAAGTTGTAGGGGGTACAAATTTAAGGAGGGTGCAAATTGAGGAGTAAATGGTTGTTTGGGAGAAAAAGTAGGAGGGTGCAAAGTGTAGTAGAAAAATATATAAAATATTATATTATATTAAAAATTCATTTAATTACTTTTAAAACCTTTTTCTTTTATTTTTTACTTTCCTTCTCTTGCACGATGGCAAGTTCCCTTCTCTCACCGTCATTCACTTTCCTTTCTCTCTCTATGCTTTTTTCTCCGCTCTTTCCCCCTTTCCTTCTTCGTTCTTGTTCCTTCTTTTCTCAAAGCAGAGAAGGCCCAAGGCCCCTCATCTATTCCCAGGATTTTAATACGAGAAATCATCGTCATTGTTCTGAAAGCAAAGCTCGGTGGCTGGGCAAGTAGGAGATACGAAATCGCCGCCACAGTCCGTTCTTCTCGCCTCGGGTTCGGTGGCTGGGCAGAGGGTGGTGCCGGGAGGAAAAACAGGGGAAGGAGATTGGAATAGTGATGATCGATCTCGAGCGTCGCCGTCGATCTCCCCACAACATCGCCGTCGTTTCTCCGGCCGCGAGATCACAATTAGACAGAGACGGCGACTACTTGGCTGGAGGAAGAAGGATTGTTGCATGTCTTCTTCTTTTGATTTTTTTCTGAAATCGTGGGGAAGATAGATGTTTTAAGTTTCCAGATCTAATGGATCCGGTGGTTTGGATTCTTATCGGAGGTGGAATTCAAAACCGGTGGCTAGGGTACTCTTGTTAGAGGTGGCAATCACGACGGCGGATTGAGTTTCTTGCCGGAGGTTTAAATCAGAGGGTCTTTCCGTTGGCTTGAGAAAAAAATCAGTCTTACGATTTTCTTAACAAAAAAAACAAAAAAAATCAGGAACGACAAATTGATAAACGCTTTCATGCTTTCTCTCTCCGCTTCCGCCCCAATTTGGGGGGTTAAGCGAAACAGTGATTTTGCACCAGAAGTTTCTGCCCCCCTACTGTTCCAAACTTTCCCAAAAGCATGCAAAATCATTGGGAAAGGGATTTACCCCCTAGTTGTTGCACCCCCCTCTACTTCCCCCTCTTCCCAAACAAAGCGTTAGTCAACCCCTTTGAGCCATGTGTCTAAGGTTCATTCTCGTGTTAGGTAGCTCGCGCTACTTGAACTTGATTGATTTAGATAGAACGACCCTACTTTCTTCGTGTCTATACCGTTATTGAGTCACCCTTGTGTTTGGAAGCTCCATTCATACCATTTGAGCTTAAACGAGGTTCCACGTGAGTGATTTGTGTATGGTTTTGCTAAGAGGTGAAGTGAGTGTGGAGGTAGTTTTTCAAAGTGAGCTTTGTTCCTTAAGTTCAAAAATGTGCCATGTTTTTAGCTCTCTATAGCCCTCAAAGGAAAGAGGAAAAGAAGAAAAAGAAAAGAAAAAAAAAAGAAATCAATAAGAGGGCAAAGAAGATAAGAGAGTGGCCACCAAAAAGATAATAAATTTTGAACATGCTCTTAGAAGTGTTGCTTAGCATGCAAGCTATAGGAACACTTACATGTTGTTGACCTTTACACTCTTGTGCTTAAAATTGAATAGCAAATGTAGCAAGAAAGTATGCATGATATGGTTTGGTAATTGGTTGTGGTTTGGAATAGTGGGAAGTGCGGTTTTTGGCCGATGCTAGTGGTTGTAGTTTGTAGGGAAGGTTCTAGTCGAAACCATAGAACCTTGTGTCTTAGGTTGAAGATATGGAACCTCATTAGGGATGGCAATGAGTCGGGTTGGGGCGGGTTTTGTCAAACCCAAACCCATGGGTTTATTCGCCAAAAAAACCCGGGGTAAAACCCGTTGGGTTTGAAAAACTCAAACCCAACCCAACCCGCTAGGTATCCGCGGGTTCATGGGTACCCGTGGGTTTTTGTGGTAAAAAATTTACAATAACAAGTTTCTTTCAAAATAAAAGTTTAACATTAATTTTCTCATACAAATTATTCATACAAAAAACACCAATCTAGAGCATACAAGCAAACCGCAAATGATCAATACAAATTGTTCAAAATTAAAGATAAACATCTATAAACAATAAGATTAATTGAAAGCTTCTTACTCGTTGACTCGACTCTACTGTCACTCCAGGAATTGGCCAAGTGTAACCACTTCCTAAAGCGTAGTATAGCGGGTTTAGGTTTAATTATCAACCCGGGTCCTAGATTTGCTGACTACTCAGTGAGTTCTTGTTATCTAGCAATAAAACTGGAGTGCAAGTCTAAACTACCAAACAAACAAAGCAAGTAAACTGGTTGTATTCAGGTTAAAGAGGTCACCCGGATATGGTTCCCCCTAGACTGCAGTTAAGCCGGATTGTAATTACCAAGTTCAGTTTCTATAAAGATTATACTGCGGAAGGTTCTTAAACAGCCTGAAGTCTCGACTAAAGGTCTTCAGACCCTCTCAATCTGACTCTCTAGCGGGCGACTAACCTCCACCGGAGTCGACAGATTGAGGCCCTAAGAACGAAACCTCCACTACCGGAGTAAATCCGGTACAGAATAGTGGGTTGGCTCCTCGACTAAAGTCACCAACTCCCTACCTTCAATCAAGGATACTCTATTAACCTAGGCAGATATTCTCATTCTAGGTTAAAGCAGAAACAACAGGAATTTGATCAGGATTCAAGTCATTCAATCATTAAAACCTCAATCGAATATAATCAATCACAGAATCAGTACTTGGGTTCATACAATCAAAGCCTAACATACAAATCTAGGGTTCTCCATACCCAGATGAATGGGAGAACTACTCCATGGAGAAGAAAGTAAAAGCAGAATCAGACACGGAAATCATACTGCAAAGGATGGATTCCTGCTTCTGGACGTTGATTGGCACTTTTCCAAGCTCAAGCTGGCCTCCAATGGTGTTGAAGATCAATCTAGGGCACTTGGGAACTCTTGCTCGTCACTTTCTCTCTCTAGGAACTGATCTCTCTCTCAAAAACTCGAATCCCCCTCCTTTGGTTCGGAATTTGGCTTAAAACCAGGAAATCCCGACTCGCACGGCCAGGGTGCACGGCCGTGCACATCACCATTCTGGCCGTGCACCTCAAAACGCGGCGTATCAATTAGTTGAACCTCAGCCAACTCGCACGGCCAGAATTGTATGTTGCACGGCCGTGCGGATTTCACTTGTGCCCGTGCGTGCCCACGCACAATCCCGCACGGCCAAACTGGTCACCTGCACGGCCGTGCGTGGCCACGCTGGTCTGCCCGTGCAGCTTGCTCAGCCTCTGTTTAATGCTTCGTTTCTCCCTCATCCGGACTCCGAATCAGTCGCCGTTTGATCCCAGACGCTCGTAGTCTCGTCCTCTTTCGTTTCATAACAAGCTTGCATGCTTCTTTGTCCATAAAGTGAGGTAGAAATCCATTCTTCTTCAGGTCATGCCCGAGTTTCCTCTCTCGAATCGTCAATTGATCTCTGATTGACTTGAAACTTGCGCCTATGCTTCACTTTATGTGCTAGGACCTGAAATGGGACAAAGGAACACAACCTAGCATAAAATAGGCCACAACACACGAATATGCCCCTCAAACGGATAAGAACTAGGGGCGCAAACATGTGCAATTACATCGTTATCACTCGTCAACTAAGTTTCTTCACTCTCCACTTCATAATATCAACTTCATTCTAAACAATTAGAAACAACAAATTATATATGTCTCCACAAACATAGAGAATATTAATTGTTTAAGGAAGATATATTATTTAGAGTATTAAATATACCGGAAACGTAATTATATGTGTGTGGGCGGGTACCCATGGGGCGGGTTTACCTAAACCCAAACCGAACCCGACCCGGTGAATAGTGTAGCGGGTTTGAACCCAAACACGGGTTTTACCCGCGTTGACCGGGTTGGGTCGGGTGGGTACCCGTGGGTTCGGGTTTTGTTGCCATCCCTAAACCTCATGTTTTGTTTGCCACCACCCAAAAAGCCTTTTCCCCATGTCCTAGACCCTAGCCAGTCATTTAAACCCGTGTCTAAGACCTTCAAACAAGCTAGCAACGACACCCATCTTATGAACTCTAACATTTAGAGATTACCATCATGATAAAGGGACGTTAGGATTGAGCGTGAATATGCACATCTTTTGCATCAAATAGTCTTGACCCCAGTGGTCGAGAGTGAGTGATTCATTCATCATGTTTTGTTCATTTCTTATACCCTGGTGAGGACCTAGGTTGCTCAATCGTTCGTTCCTATGATGTGATCTTCATGCATGAGTAACTTTGATTGGTGAGTCGTCGAGGCATTTGTGTGTGGGTTCGTGAATAATGTGAGAACTCTTCTTTTGCACAATCTTCATAAAGTTGAATGTCATTTGTGGTGGTTGCCAAGTTTACTTTGTTTTTGTCCATAGATCGGTGTCAAATAACCAGTGTGATTCATTCGTTTTGTGCCATATGACATGCCCCAAAAATTGTGTTGGAAAAGAAGTTGTAAGCTTAACTTATTTTCTACTTGGTTTGCTTGGGGACAAGCAAACGTCTAAGTGTGGGGGAGTGATTCGGGCTCAAATGTACACATTTTACCCCACATTTCTTATTCATTTAGCTTAGTATTACATCACTCCACGACATATTTCACGCTAGGTTGTGCTTGTTTTGATACATTTCAGGTCCTAGCACGTGTGGAAGGGTCGAGGACGAGTTTTGGGATATTTGGAGGTCAAAAAGCGCAAAAACCAAAGAAAAGTCTGAAGTCACTATTTGGATGCAATTGTCACGGTCTCCTAAGACCGTGAACATGGACCACAAACCGTGAACATCGAGTAGTCCAGCGGGGTTCGTGAAGTTACTGACGACAAGGCAGTTCATGGTCTCTAAGACCATGACTGGGGTCATTGAGCGTGAACCCATGTGAATGAAGCGGCGCGTTATGGATGACGCTGAGTTCACGGACACGTTTAGGTGTTCACGGCCGGGAACTGGCCAACACGTCCGTGACTTGATCGCTTTTCGGCAAATATGAAGACAGCAGCGGAGAGAGAGAGAGGAGAGTTGGTTTTTGGGGAAGAAACACTTTCTTTCTCTAGGTTTTCAACCTAAACACCAAAGGGGAGTTCTAGTAAGAGAGTGAGAGAGAGAGAGAGAGAGAGAGAGATAAAGAGAGAGAGAGAGTGCTAGAGTGATCTTGAACCATCATTGGAGACTTGGGTGGAAGATTCAAGCCTAGAAGAAAAAGAAGATCTTGAGCTCAAATTTGTAATCCCTCTCTCATTCTCTCTAGAAACTCACTCTATTCTCTTTGGGTGTTGTAGATCCCTAACTAATACTTTGTAATTACTTGTCTAGATTGAATGATTGTCATTGGGTATTGGTTAATTCGATGTTTGAGGCATTATTCACCATGATTGTGCACGCTTGTGCTTAGCAACTTAGGGGTTGTGCATGTTTTGTGCTTAGCATCCTAGAGATTGTGCATAATTGTTCTTAGCACCCCCTAAGTTTGTGCATTGAGGTGCTAGTAATCTAATTTGCCACCTTAGCCTAGCTTAGAGAGGAAAATCCCTTTGTCAAGGGAGACTCAATCGAGTTGTTTTTCCTTCTGCTTTCTAAACCACCTAAACTAGGTTGAGTTAGGGCAACCCGCAATATTGAATTAAACAAGTCGATTAATCGTGGTTAAACCGTCTGAACTTCGAGTTGAGTGAGGAAGTAAGCCGAATACCGATTGTCTAAACCGAGAGGGTCGAGTGACACGGCCTTACATCCTCACCTTGATTTAGCAGTTGAGACTGTGGTCTCCGACCACATACGCTTTCTTCTGCGGTTCACGATTAACGTGCCCAAGGCAATCCTTCCAATCCAAAGAGTCTTGGTAGCTAGTTAGGGGAAGCAACTCCTGGGTGAAGCTCCCTTAGCTAGGATTTTCATTTATTCATTTTTCCTTGTTAGCTTAGTTTGTAGTTTTCTTAGTTCTAAACCCAAAAGTTGTTTGCTAGATAACAACCTAAGCAATTAAAGTAGGGTACATGGATCAGTCCGGGTTGACAATTTGAATACTTGCTCTATACTGCACCCGACTAGAGTTTAAAAAGTTGGGCTAGTCGGGATTAGTTTGTGGTGTAGTTTCATGCCAGTCACACAGCCTATGGGCCGGCCCTGTAAACGAATTGATCAATCAGTGCCTGGTTGAAACCCTAGTTGCCCTTAAGCAACAACACCCTCAACAATATGGAGAACAATAAGCTTCCTCAACCTTCTTCACCGGCGATGACATCCAAGCTTCCTACTCCAACGACGATGACTAGCGATGGTAGATCTAGGTTGGTACTCGATGGCATCTCTTCGACCTTCTCCTTCCTCCTCAGCTCGACCTTCATTCTTCTTGCCTCAAATTTTTTGGCTAGGGACGCACTGTTCGGAAGCATAGGTCGTTCGGCAAGCTTTGGCAAGAGCAGGGCTCCGGTGGAATTTTGGGGAAGGTCGTTTTAGGTTAGGGCAAAAAGAGGAAGAAGGTCAAGGGCAAGGTTGATTTTGGCTAGTTTAGGTTACTATTGTTTGAAGTGCAAAATCGTCTTCTCAGTGCACTTCAAGTCATAAATTAAAAAAAAATTAGGCGTCAAATAGAAATCAAACAAATTAATGTCGATAAAGGGTTCGAAAACATAAAATAAGCCAAAAAGGATTTCGTCGATGCGATTATTTTTTCCTGTGAAAAAATCACTGGCAGATGAGAGGAGTTGAGAAGTAGGTAGGGTAACATCATTATTACTTCGCCAAATGCTGATAGAGATAAATATCTCTTATAATTAGTGTTGACCGTTTCTCCACTACTTGTATTCTGTTGCTGATATTCAGCAATTAGTTGCTTAGGAATAGCTCTTTCTGTTTACCTATTGTATCCAGTATCCTGTATAAATTCCTTTCATCAATAATACATCATATGGGATTTTCGGCTTCACTTCATGGTATCAGAGCCTAATAGACTCTAACGGGTTTTTTTTCTTCCTTCCTCTTCCCTCTGCTATTTTCCTTCTCCCAGTTTGCAATGTCGGCAGCTTCCTCCACCACTTCCTCTACTACAAATTATGTATCCTCCAGTTCTACGCCAACAATATCTCTGCCATCCAATCCCCAATTCACCGTCAAGCTCACGCCGAACAACTATTTGTTATGGAAGACCCAACTTCTTCCTCTTCTCCGTTGTTTCTATTTGATTGGCCATATCGATGGCACCCTGCCGCCTCCGCCGGAAGCCATTAATTCCCAGCCGAATCCAGCATATGGAGAATGGTATCAAAGAGATCAACTAGTTCTGATTTGGATCAATATGTCATTATCGGAGGTCGTGCTGTCCACTATCGTCAATAAATCTACTGCTCGTGATGCCTGGGATTCTCTTGCTCGTGTCTACGGATCTACTTTGCCGGTCATTGTGCGGCAGCTTCGTGGTTCTCTCAAGCGTCTGGCGCGTGGGTCTGAATCAGCTCACGAATATCTCCAGCGTGCCAAGGGGATTGCCGACAATCTTGTTGCTCTTGATGATCCCGTCAAAGAGTCTGAACTCGTCCGCGCCCTCATGGACGGTCTTGGTGATGAATATCGCCCTTTCACTCAGAATCTTGAAGCTTGCCTCACTCCGATTTCCTTTGATGACTTCAGCAGTCATCTCCTGAGCGAAGAAATGCAACTTAAGCGCTCTCAGTCGGTCGCCGGTGACCTGGCTTCGCCGCATGCGTTTTACTCTGGTGGTGGTTATCGCGACAGGGGCGGCCGGACTCCAAGAGGCAGGGGCGGCCAAAATGGTTATGGTGGTCGTGGTGCCTATGGCCATCAAAACCCTTGGAGGCCCAACCCCCAACCCTGGCCCAACTCTTATTCTAACCAACAGTTTAATCAACCCATGAATGCAGGTGTACTTGGAGCTGAGCCTTCTGGTCCTTCAAAGACTATTTGCCATAATTGTGGAGGAAGAGACCATATCCGGCCCAACTGTCCAAGCCCTTTATATCCAGACCAATCCTCTTATCCTTGAGGCTCATCTTCCAACCTAGCCCAAACCTCTCATCTAGCCCACTCTTCCCAGCAATGGCTCATGGACTCTGGGGCCAACCATCACGTGACTTCAGATCTCGACAATTTAGCGCATCATTCTAAATATAATGGCACTGATAGCGTCACCTTTGGCAATGGTAAAACCCTTCCAATCTCTCACACTGGCTCATCTCATGCTTCCATTTCTAATTATTCTCTTTCTTTGAATAATATATTGCGTGTGAAAGATGCCCCTCATAATCTCTTTTCGGTGAGTTCTCTTACTCGGTCTAATCCTATTTCCATTGAATTTTTTGATTCTTATTTCATTATCAAGGACAGTCGCACCAAGCATGAACTCTACCGGGGCTCCGTAATTGACGGCCTTTACTCACTATCGCTCCACATTACCAGTCTGTTTTCTCCTCGTGTTTTTGTGGCATCCCTTAATCATTGGCATCAACTTCTTGGTCACACAAATCTCTGAGCTGTTCATCATCTTTTTCCTGTGATCAAATAAATTATGCACCCAATCCCTCTTCGCTATGCCATGGGTGTTCCGTTAGAAAAATTCACAAACTTCTGTTTCCTTCTTCTAGTTATCAAGCTACTGCGCCGTTAGAACTTATTTGTAGTGATCTTTGGGGACCTCTCCCTGTTTTGTCTTATGATAATCAGTCGTATTATGTTCTCTTTTATGATCACTATAGCAAGTTCTGCTGGATCTATTTTATTCAATATAAATCTCAACTTTTGAGTGTGTTTGTCCAGTTTCGTCAACTAGTTGAGAAGTTCTTTGGTCTCCCTATAAAATCCTTCCAATCCGACTGGGGTGGTGAGTATGAGGCGCTTTCAACCTATCGTACTCAAAATGGTATAGTTCATCGTTCGTTTTGTCCATATATTCCTGAACAAAATGAGTGTGCTGAACGTAAACACCGTCATATAGTCACCAATGGTCTTGCAATGTTACATCATGCACATGTCCCTCTAAAATATTCGCCTCTTGCCTTTGACATTGCATGTTATCTCATTAATTGCACTCCCACACCTCTTCTTCACAATGCTACTCCATTTACTACTTTGTTTTCTCGTGATCCCGATGTTCACAATCTTCGTGTCTTTGGTTGTTTGTGTTATCCTTGGCTCCGTCCTTATGTAGCTCACAAACTTGCCCCTCGCTCTGTTGCTTTTGTTTTTCTTGGCTATAGTAATCTCCACAAAGGTTATCGTTGCCTTCATCCTTCCACTGGTCATATCTATATTAGTCACCATGTTCTATTCGATGAAAAGTGTTCCCTTTTGTAGATCTGAAGTCCGGCCCACAACCAGAGTCCTCGGCCCATGACCCTAATACACCTATTCCTTTGCCTATTCTACCCATTATTCCTCCTGGCCCATCTTCTTCTCCTCCATCTGCCGGCCACCACCTACTACTGAAGCCCACAACAATCCAGTTTCTCCAACCCTAGCCCGCCCTAATGTGACCTCCCAACCCGACCCATTTCTTCCTAACCCATTTCGACCCGCTCCTACCCAGCCCCAATCCACCGCCGTACCACCCTCTTCCACCACTACCCCACCCTCTGCTTCTCGCCTTCGACCATCTCCAGCTCCCCTGTCTAACCGTCCAAGATTCAACACTTCCCCTTGCCTCTTACCATCTCCCTCGCCTCCTCTTCCTCCTCCACGAAGAATGGTCACTTGCCAGCAAACTGGGAATCTAAAGCCCAAACAATTTCTGACGGTGTCTCCATCTGTGCTTCCATTCACAGTCGCCCAAGCCTTAAAGTCTCCTCACTGGAACTCGGCAATGACAACTGAGTTTCCTGATTTGCTTCGCAATCAAACCTGGGATCTAGTTCCACCACCACCCAACTGCAATATCATCTCCAATCGCTGGGTCGTAGCTCATGGTTTTGAGAAGGTTCCCGGTCGCGATTTCACAGAGACATTTAGTCCTGTGCTCAAGCCTGCCATGTTGCGCTTAATCCTGGGTATTGTCGTTTCCCATTCATTGCCTCTCCACCAGCTAGATATATCCAATGCATTCCTCCATGGCACTCTCGAAGAAGAGGTTTATATGCAGCAACCTAAAGGCTTTATTGATAAGGATCATCCGGATTATGTGTGCAAACTGCGAACGTCCATTTATGGCTTGCACAGGCTCCTCGCTGCTGGTTCAAATGCTTGTCTGCTGCCATTCGTGACTTTGGTTTTCAGGCTTCCAAGACAGATCCTTCCCTCTTTATCTTCCGCGATCAAACCACAACTCTCTACATGCTGGTGTACGTTGATGATATAGTGAGCACTGGTAACAACTCCGAACTTCTTCAGCGCCTACTCTCCTTTCTGCATACTCGATTTGCTCTTCGTGATCTTGGCGACTTATCCTATTTCCTTGGGTTGGAGGTTCATAAGACTTCCAATGGTATTCTCCTCAATCAGTCCAAATATGTCCATGATATTCTGGAGAGGTCAGGTATGGCTGATGCCAAACCCATTACTACTCCTTGTACAAGTGATCTTATTGTGCAATGTGATATGGACAGAACTGCTGCTTTCTCTGATCCTAGGCTATATCGAAGCATTGTTGGTGGCCTGCAGTATCTAAACTTCACTCGGGCGGATATATCCTTTGCTGTGAATCATGTTTCTCAGTATCAACAGGCCCCAAGGGAAGTTCATTGGTCTGCAGTTAAGCGCATTTTGCGCTACTTACAAGGAACTATCACACGCGGTCTGGTCTTCAACCGCTCATCCAACCTTCACATACATGGATATTCTTATGCCTCGTTTTCTTCTTGTCCCCAAGATCGGAAATCAGTCACCGGCTTTGCAGTCTTTCTTGGGAGTAACTTGGTCTCATGGTCTACTCGTAAACAGAAATCGGTGGTGCGTTCCTCTACCGAGAGTAAATACCGGGCACTTGCTACTCTTGCCTCTGAGGTAATATGGTTACAGGCCCTTCTCTCCAAACTTGGCCTGCCCCTTTCCTCTCCTCCAGTGCTGTGGTGTGACAACCTTAGGGCAACATACTTGGCTCGTAATCCTGTTTTTCATAATCGATCCAAGCATATGGAGATCGATTTTCATTTTGTTCGTGATCGTGTTGCCAAGGGCCAGTTTTAAGTTTGCTACTTACCTGCCACTAATCAAATAGCCGATGTGCTCACCAAGCCTCTCACTCGGCTTCCCTTCAATCAGTTTTGTTCCAAGTTTCACTTCTTCGAGGTTTCTCTTGCAGGGGCGTGATAGAGATAAATATCTCTTATAATTAGTGTTGACTGTTTCTCCACTACTTGTATTCTAATGCTAATATTCAGCAGTTAGTTTCTTAGGAATAGCTCTTTTTGTTTACCTATTGTATCTAGTATCCTGTATAAATTCATTTCATCAATAATACAACATATGGGTTTTTCGGCTTCACTTCATGTCATGAACCAGTTGGTCTCAATAACTCGAGTTGTTGGGAGAAGTTCAATCGTGGATCATATACCACAACACTAACACACCCCCTCAAACGAAAGCCACTCACAAGGGCTTGAAGTTTGCACATGTCTAAAGACAAGAATATCATGTTCTTAACAAATGGGGGTCACCGGGAATCCAACACAAGACCTCTTGGTCAGAGAAGGCTCTGATACCATGTCATGAACCAGTTGGTCCCAATAACTCGAGTTGTTTGGAGAGGTTCAATCGTGGATCATATACCAAAACACTAACAAATGCAACCTCCACAATCAGCGAGAGAATTCAACACGCTCTCCACTCTCTTCTTCATTCATTCGTACAACAATTCTGCCCAGCGATCAACGCCTATGAAATTCACGATACTACTTTCCTATACCAATAGAACTCCTGATAAGACATAGACTACGGACGAAATGATTAGAGATTGGCAGCAAAACGTCCCTTCACTAATCATTATTTCTATGGACCTTGCGAAGGATTATCTTATATATAAAAATTAGGTATACTTTTTATCAAATTATTATTACATTTTTTGTCTTTTAGTGAGGATGAAAGAGTTTGTTATCTTACCCCATCCCGCATGAAATATATTAAAAAGAAAAAAATCATTATTATTTGGTCAAAACTATTGGATGCATGACTAGGGTGGGATATTTCTTTGTTTAACAAAACCGAAATGGAAATAAAAATCGAAAAACTCGAAACAAGTAATTTTCTTAAAAATGAACTGTTAAGAGGCTTAAACGATTCGATTTGATTCCAGGGAAATGAAACTTGAATGGATAGAATAATGAATCTTTGTGTATTGGTTGTTTTTTTTATCATTAGGTTTTGACCAAACAAAAAATGTTAAGTACAAAGAGTTTGAGACCGAAACCAAAAAAACGATAAGAGCACCCTATAGGTTCGTTTACTTGGGGAAGAAAAAAATAATCCGAAAAGGCAGCCCTATGTATGGCACACTTTGTTATCTTTCACTTTGATCTTCATATTATTCAAAATCTTAATTATTTAATCTTTCATTGTTGTTATGAGGGAAGTAAACATTGATGATGAATTCATTTTTTTTATTACACCTTAGGTCATGTGTCAACTACTTTAAGGAAAGGTCTTTGTGTGGTTGGGTTTAGCCATTGAAAAACACTAAGGCTAACCACAACCCCGAAACGAAAAAAAATTGGGGGGGGGGGGGGGGGGGGGGGGGGGGGGAGGAGGGAGGTGGGATTAAAGGGTCAAAATGACCTTTTAACCCCCTCAAAAACAAAAATAGCTGCAATCTTGGGGCTTAAAGTTTTTGTTTCGTATATTGTAATCATAACTTCTAAATAGTGAAAATTATGTTTTAATTTAAAATTTATATATTCATTCACGATAATTCGATACGACTATCTGATAAAATTTGAACAATTTCGGAGATACTTTTGTTTTTAGTTGAAACGAAAAAAGATACGCAAACATGAACTTCGTTCATCAAAATTTCCAAGATTTTGAACAATTTTCGGAGATACATTTGTTTTTTGTTGAAAGGGACGAGTGTTTCAAACTTTTAATATAACTTTTTGTCTTCAAATAGCAATCGAGCGGTAGAAAGTTACAATGAAAGGAATTTTGTTGGTTTGAAAACACCCACAACAATACATGTACATTCAATTTAAGTACTAAAACAAA